TCCCCACCCCCCACCCTCCCACACCGGCTACGAGCCGAGGGCCGAGCGGCGAGCCACTCGCCACTCTGCCCCCCCCTGCTCGCCACTCGCCTTCCAAATGGCGGCGGCGGCCTCCGCACGGACACTCTGACACTTTCGGGGTTTTTTAAATATCCCCCCAATATTTTTTTTTAGTTTTTAGATTTTTGTGCACCCCTGGGGACTGCCCCAAGAGTGCACAAAACTCTCCCTGCCCCCCAGGTCGCCCCGGAGCGCGGATTTAGCGATCCGCACAGACAGGGCGACTTGGGTATTAGATATATAGATAGATGTAGCCTGTCAAACTAAAAAGAAGTCCTGGGGTACATTAAACAGATTTTTGTCTCATAGTTTATTATTCTTTGGGGATATGCATGGTTCTTCCCTCCTCCATTGTATTCTCACAGCAATCCTGTGAGGTACGTAACGCTGAGAAAGAAAATGACTGGCCAAAGTGTGCTTAATAGGCTTTTGAACTTATTTCCCCGGTCCTAGTTGGGCATTCTAATCACTATACCACACCGGCTCTAATTTCTAGTATGTGCTACAATAAACACTAACCTGCAAATACTTCTTGTTCATATATTACAGATGTACAAAGTGAAAGTGTAATTGTTTGCCACTTTTCCACTGCTGAGAACCATAATGTGTCATATAGAGAACTCAAAGATTTACTGGAATCCAAGGCTATTCAGCTCATTGATGTTAGAGAGAAATGGGAAATTGGAGAACATGGGAAAATCCCAGGATCCTTCAACATTCCATGTAAGTTAACATTTGCTGTTCCAGAGTGAGGGGAACACAAGGCTAGATTATACTTAACAGGAGATGTTAATGATTAGTCAATATTGTCCGGACTTGTATTGCCATGTGTCTTTTATCCTACAATAGTTGCAGATGACACACTTTGAATAGCACTTTGAGAGCCAGTTTGGTGTAGTGGTTAAGTGCACGGACTCTAATCTGGGAGAACCAGGTTTGATTCCCCACTCCTCCACTGGCACCTGGCTGGATGACCTTGGGCAAGCCGTAGCTCTGATAAGAGCTGTTCTTGAAAAAGAGCAGTTTCTGTCAAGAACTTTCTCAACCCCACCTACCTCACAGGGTGTCTGTTGCTGGGAGGGGAAGGGAAAGGAGTTTGTAAGCCACTCTGAGACACCTTTGGGTAGTGAAGGGCAGGGTATAAATCCAATCTCCTCCTCCTCCTCTTCTTCAAAAGCATTGTATAAATAAATACTGTGATCATTCTCTTCTTATGTCATGATGTCTGTCCTGTCTTACAATAAACAATAATAGGTTGACTCAATTGTTCTTGCAGTGGGAGAGGTTGTAGAAGCCCTACAGATGAACCCAGAACATTTTAAAAATATATACAATCAAGATATGCCCTCTAAATCAGACCATTTAGTATTTGTCTCTTTGGCGGGAGTGAGAAGCAAGCAAGCTGTAGTTGCTGCAAAATCTTTAGGTTTTGCCAGGTAAGCGTATGTACCCAGTATATATAGACCCAGGCAAGCTTACTGGTCTTGGTGAAAGGAATGGTTTCAGCATACTAGGAACTGCATTTTAGGGTAGATGTGAAGCAGATATGGAAGTCGTGAAAACAGTTGGTATTTGCATAGATGTGTCTCTTCTGAAAATGTGATTATCAACCGCTTTTGTTCTCTGTGTTTCTCAAATAACTTATTGTTTGAAGACCTAAGCTTGGCACAAATACTTTTACCTCATCTGGAGGTCACACTGGTAATCTAAATTAGTCTGAAGGACATACCCAGAGCCACATAGGAAGTTCATGTTATGCAGGATATTAGGCTTGGATCAACTTCTCCGCCTCCCCCTTCTGACTGCAGTCTCTGTGTCCCTAAAAGTTGTGTTCCTGTGAGTCAGTGGACCTACAGGAACAATGTGGATAGTAAGTTTGGGAGTGTACATGTTTCGGGGGGGTGGGATAGGCAAAAACCACCCTCTCCTCCACAAGCAAAAAGCCAGCTGCTGCTGTGTCACAGAATCTAAGCCATTATCTACTGTATCAAAAGAGGAACCTACATTATACCCTTGTCATACAGTACAACATGACACACAATGCATTTCAGAGTAGACATCGTACTACAAGAACAACATACGGGTACAACCAGTTACAATAATTGTAATTCTGTTTGAGTGCTCTGTGTACCATGAAGATCGTGATACAGAAACGAATTGTTTCAGGTGGGAGTCATCTTGCTCTGCAGGAGAACAGCTAGATCTGAGTCCAGTTGCACTTTAGAGATCAACAAGATTTTGGGGGGTATAAATTTTCAAGAGTCAAATTGAACTAATAAATAAATAAGTCAGAATGGAGATCCCCGAGTTCTTGTATCCCAGTCAGAAGGTGGGAGGGGTGCTGCAAAGAGGGGACACAGGATGCAGAGGTACAATGCACTCTGAAATCAGCTTGATTAGAATGGAGGAGAAATGCTTTGGGGCAGAAAACTAGCATCTGTGGAGAGATAGGAATCCTGTGTTTGGCCTTGGGCTGGTCCATTTTCTGAATCTGTGAAGGAACTCAAGTTCAGCAATCTTCAGAAATTAATTTTCTGCTTTCAGAGCTCAGCACTATATTGGTGGCTTCAAAGAATGGGCAGAGCATGAGTCTTCAGGAAAAACGTGACTTCTGGAATAACCAACTATTCAGCAACCTGGAAAACTGCTAATATTTACAGAGTGTTGGTTTCATACTCAGTCTGGCTTCCCAATGTTAATAAAATTTTCTTCAAAGAAAGTCAGCAGTTTTAATTTCATTAAACACCTCAACCAAGGGGGCCAGGAGGGTCATCTGGCCCAGCCTCACATTCACTGAGGGCCTCAAATTGAGAGTTTTGACATTGTCTGCTAATACATACAAGTTGCAAAGACAGACTGACAAGACTGAAAGAAAGCAATGTTCATCATACAACTTTAAACTTGTGTCCCATTACTAGGCCTCACCATCTATAGTGTGCACTATGAATTAATATTCTCCTCCCATTGGCAGCATTGTTAATATATCAGGAGCCTCAAAAAATGGACGTGATGCCCAATCTTGTCAGATCTCAGAAGATAAGCTGGACCAACCCTGGCAAGTAGTTGGATGGGAGACCTCCAAAGAATACCAGGGTTAGAAGGCAAAGACAAGCTATCAAGCCACTTCTCGGAATGTCCTTCATGCCCCAGTAGGAGTCACCAGAGGTCACCAGAGGTGACTTCCAGGTACGGGCACGCACACACAAATGCAAAAATACTGCCCCAAAATGGAAATGATCTCGGTCTCTCATGACCTCTGAGAGATCCTGACCTCAACCATAACAGATTGACGACGTGAATTTCAGTAGTTCAACTTATCCCTTAATCTGAAATACAATTAAACTGTCCAAAGAAGTTGGACTCTAGGTTTATGAGAGGATATTATTGCCTACAGGTTTAACTCATTCCCTAATAATTCCTGAAATGGATCTCATTTGTCAAAAACCCTACTCACATATTACAGTGAATGCATGTACATCCTGTCTGTACATGCAGACATCTGCAAAAAAGAGTAAATGTGTTCACTTAACAAATGAACCCGAGGAACAGTACCAGGAGGAAGCTCACTGGATGACCATAGGCCAGTCACAAACTCTTAGCCTAATATACCTCACGGCTCAAGTGGTTAAGACGCTGAACTGCAGGCTGTGGAAGGTCAGTAGTTCAGCAGTTCAAGACCCGGGTACCGCAAGACGGGGTGAGCTCCTGTCTCTAGTTCCAGCTCCTGCCCACCTAGCAGTTCGAAAGCAAGAAATTGCAAGTAGATAAATAGGTACCACTTCGGTGGGAAGGTAACAGCGTTCCGTGCGCATTGGTGTTTAGTCATACCGACCACATGACCACGGAAACGTCTTTGGACAGCGCTGGCTCTTCGGCTTTGAAACAGAGATGAGCACCGCAACCCTAGAGTCGGATTCGACTGGCTTTCAAGCAAGGGAACCTTTACCTTTACTTTATTGTTTGAGGATAAAATGGAAGAGATGAGAACTATGTAAACCACTTCAGGTACCCATGGGTGAGAAAGGTATGATATAGATGAAGTATAAAAAGTATAGGGTTTGTATCACACATTCCATTGTACATGTGTTTACACTAACAAGAATGACTGACACAAAGATCAAGTGTACACTGTACACAGATTGCATGGGAATTCAATGTAATTCGTGAAGATGGCTAAAGTGATAGAAGTAACTGGAGTTTCATGTTCTTTTCTTGCCCTGCTACCCAACTTTTTTTTGTTGAGTGACAGCCTACTGTTTAATCTATATTTCATGCTTGTTAAAGCAGATAAACGTGTTCCATCTTGATAACACTCCAGTGGTTGGATTCAACACAAGGATTGTGGATCTTCCCTGCTTTTCTCCTCCCTCCAGCAGTCATTAACAGTTCTTGGACACTCTGGGTGGACTGCTGGGGGGGCGGCGGCGGGGAGAGTAGGGTGAAACTGCTTCCTCTTCTGTCATTGGAGCTGAAGAAAGAAGCAGGACATTTTCTTCTCCCTCTTGCAACCTCCTGACATTGCTCCCATAACCCTGGGGAATAAAGTTTCCCAGGGTTAGAAATGGCTGCTGAGCAGAGGGAGGGAGGGGATAATGATGATGACAATAGGAAAATGGGGAAGATCTGCCACTGTCAGCATTTTCCACTGATGGGTTACTGGATCCAACCTATAATCTACACAAAGCCTACACAAACTACAGTCAGCCACACATACTGTCCACCTTGAACTGCACTTTAATCATAGATGCAATCAGTTTCTAAATAAACACCTATTATTTTAGTGTATGAGAACTCTTTCTTTATTCACCTGATTTAACATTTATTATTTTTGAAATAAATGATTAAGATTTAAATTATGCAATAAATGAAATAGACAACATTATTAGTCTGCATTTGTTTTTATTCCTACCCAGCGAGTTCATATTACAAATAAAGTTTAAACCCACAAGGGGACAGAAGTAATTTCATATACTAGAAGAACAAGATGTCTTCAAACTAATTATGTCAGCAAGGGTGTGGAATAAGATCACAGGTATCAACAGAATAAAGGGAATTATGAAAAAGCCAGAACACATCACTTCTCGCAGAAGTGGTTTGTAAGAGTCAGTATCCAAACACACTTTATAAAAATAACTTCAACAGTTAAGTGCAAAGAGTCCAAGCATTTGCATACAAAAACACTTTGGTTACACTTAATTCAATGACAGGTCAAGTAGTGGCAGACATTACTGCCTTTTAATCAAGTTTTAGAACAAGCACCAAGTGACAAGGTTTTTCAAACCTACGTTCCTTTGTTTTCATTCCAGTATACCATATTACCATTACCTTCTGTGCAGAAAAATGAACTTAGACAAATCCAGTAATAATGATTTTTATTTTACTTTGTTTTAGGAGAAAATCAGACACATTTATTTTATTATGATATGCACAATCACTCAAATTCATGGGCTTTGGACCAAATCCTGTTTTCAGTGGGATATTTGCCTGAGTAAGGATCACAGGATATGGCCCTCTGCTTAAAAAGAAACTATCCAGTGATCCTATCTAGTTGAATTCTTCTTGCAGTTAACTTTTAATAAATATGGTATTGCAGAGCTAGATCTAGAGTCTCATGAATACTTGCTGCCTTCTAGCTTCTGTTATACATCAGAGTAACAATGATGGCAGATTAACTCCTAGTACATTACACAGCCACCAGCAAGACCTCACTTAGGATTTCAGTCTTGTAGAATAACTTGATTGGATTGCAAGATCTGACTTAGTTTGTCTTAATTGTCTTGGATTGCAAGATCTGACTTAATCATTAGGAAAAGGTCGAAATGTTCTCCCCTCCCCCAGCCACAATTTGTGTTACACATATTGCCCTTTTTTGGGTATGCTGGACTTCAAGTTCCACTAACAAAAATTATAGGTACTGGGTAAGAGCACCTTCCTTTAAATTAAGAAGAGAAATGCATGATACCTTTCTTAGACTATAACAAGGTCTTTCCCCAGGCATTTACTAAAAGGAGATATTAGTGGGTGCTATCGCCTTACAAAAAATTGCATTCTCCATCTGGTACAATATCCACTGGCATTATATACCTATTAAATTAAGATTTCACATACAACATTTCAGGCCACATCCTGTGCTTAAGGTAGCTTTAGGGCAGTAAACACAGTTACATTTGCCCAGCTCTTCATTCACACATTTTCTTAAATTCTTCCATCCATTATCCTCACAGAACAAGTACTGAACTCTGTCCATTCTAAAGTGAATAGTGTTATTTTTCTAGCTTTTTTCAAAGCTTCTGAGTTGTTTGGAGATTGAGAATTTTAAGTGTGTTTGTGCCAAAATTTGAATGGGTGTGTGTCTAAGGAAATATTTTCAATATGTTTGACAGAAACATTCTTCAAGTTCTTTCTGAAAACACACTATTGAAACCTTCTGTCCATGTCTTCCACCCAGGAAAAGATCCCAAAGTGTCTTAATCCAAAGTGGTCCACAGTGAATGTCTTTGGAATGTCTTAAGACTGGCTGTAGCTAGAATTCTGACTTCCATTTGGACCTTGGTCTCCTTCACTGTTTGGAGTAAAGCAGACATCCACACATGAGTCAACTTATTTTACTTGAAAACCCTTCTTCATTTGGGAAGCTGAGACACTTACACAGGACTCCTAGGGCCAACTCCCATCTAGGCAATGACCAGGAAGAGGCTTGTGAACCTTTAAGAATTAACAGCATCATGTGGCCTCAGATCATGCTGCAACATCAGCGACTCAGCTCTCAAAACAAGAACTAGAGTTCTGGGAGTGCAGATCATAAAACCATCTCTGAATGTGATAGCTAAACAGTTGGTCTTTTGCTGCGGAAATCTGGAAAATGCCGTTTTCAGCCTCCCACAGGATCACAGATGTTGCTGTGGCCCCAAAGCTATTATCTTGCAGTTTCCAATTTAAGTTTACTATGAGCACTTAAAGGCAGCTGAGAACACCTGCACAAGTGAAACATGGGATTGGGCAAGAGATTCAGATTCATAACTTCAAACTGAAAATCAAGATGTAATCCTTCAAATTCTGAAAAATGCTTAAAAATCATGATTAAAAGGAAGTGCAAGCCCTCATTGCTTTTATTTCTATGCTTCTACCAAATTGCTGTTACCTGCTCTTTTTGCACAGAGAAGAGTGATCACTTGCACATTAATTTGTTCCCGTTATTGAAATTGAAGGGCACATGCACAAAAAGATCAGTTTCAAGGTAAGAATTTAACCCCCACAATAACGCCATGCCCAATTTGTAATTAGAGTTGTGAAGGACCAAAATGCATCTAGGTCAATTACCTAGCCAATGTCACAGCAATCCATCCCTCACAGATAAACATATGCAAACCACACTGCCATGTGCCACTAGCATATGTGAGAAAGTAGAGACAGGACACCTACCTGTTTGGAGGTGGTTTTGGTTTAGGCATCTTACTTAGAATAGTAGCCATTTCTTTCCTCTCATCAAAGTTTTTCCATTGTTCGTACAGCTTCAAGATAACCCTGATTATTTCTAAAATCTAAACAAAAACATATATATGGCACTCAAGTGCATATGCATGCTTCTTTCTGCATCTTCAATAGTCATATACTTCATACAGGCTTAGTTGGCATACAGCTATTCTATATACAATGAGCTTACACTTGAAACTGTCTACTATGGCACTATTTGGCTCCCTTTAAATAACAGAAGAGTCAAACCTGAACCTATGCTAAACCACCTCTAGCCATTGGTTCTTGGGATTTTTAGGCATCTCAGGTTTGTTCATTTGGTTGTTTTATTCAGAATTAATGCAACCCATGACACAAACTGTGATCTTGAGATGACACCTAAGGACCCAGTGGGGGGAAAGACAGCATGTGGCCTTCTCCACTAAAAGGATGATGGAAAACCTAGGCCTCCATGAGTGTTACAATATAACTACCAACCAAACACATGCAGAAATGGGCTTCCATGTATAGTCAAGTCTTCCACTTGATTATAGCTTTCCATGGGAGCTTTTGTTTTTAAAAATGTGGGGGAAATGTACACTACCAGGAAGAAACATCCATGTTAGAGATATTTAAGAACAGTTTCAATTTAAAATAAACAATCCAAAAAACCCCAGTGAGCTCTTATCTCATTGCCTACACATCTTGCAATAATTTATATTGTATTTTATCAGGATGTTCAGGTTCCAAACAGAACAAAATTTGAGTCCTGATCTGAAGAAGTGTGCATGCACACGAAAACCTATACCCAGAATTAAACTTTGTTGGTCTTAAAGATGCCACTGGAGTCAAATTTTGTTCTGTTGCTTCAGACCAACACGGCTACACACCTGAGTCCAGGTTCCAAATAGCACAAACAGAAAGGGGATGTGCAAAAACTCACAGGGGAAGGGAAATCCTATCCAACCCCCAGCCCCCATTCCTTCCCTGGATAATTACACATTTCCTTCTTCAACTCTCCAAGCTGTCTTCCTCCTAACTCTCCCCTAAGCCAATCCTTTTTGAAAACATTAGGGGAAGGGGGCATTATGACATCTGTGCATATGCAGAAATTCAGTTACAGGCAAGACAGTAATCCCATATATATGTTTCCTGCAAAGCTGGATATTGCCAAAGGTTCACAAAAACATATAAGTCTTCCTAAATTCTAGCTAAAGAGTTTTGTAGAGGCTTTTAGCTTCACATTCTCACCAAGAGATAACAGCTCACAAAGACACTTCCAGCTTGTCTACTGTTCCACACCCTAAAGTTAGTATAATACCATTCTGTATGTGGCTGCTGGTTAGCCTGTACATTTCCAGCAGCTTTATAGACCTGTAGCCAACAAAGCAAATCAAATTTAAACTACCTTCTCCATATCAACAGAGAGTTCAGCAAACCACTGTCTAGCATCCTTCTGTTGGACAACACAAGCCACATGTAGACAAGCTGCAAAATAAACAGACATAGTTTATACATCATGTAATGTTCACAGAATGTGAGGTGACAAAGGACATTTGCAGAACATGTTCTCTGTACTACTGCCTCCCTCTTAAGAGCTGTATTTTGCCATTAAACCATTCTCAATACTCTCTCTCAACCTGTCAACACTTTTAAAAGACGTATATTTTGAGTTTTCCACTTTAAGAGATTTTTGTACTGTATATCTGCACTATCAAAAGCGTATCAGTTTCAAACTGAGAATGAAATGATTGAGGTCGATATAGCAACATCAGAACTTATACAAAGATGGTCACTGATGGACCTCGACACCGAACTGTTCCATTCAAAGAATGATAAACACTGGAATGTGTTACGTACCTAGAGCTATCATGAAAGGAGGGTACAGCAGACAAAGATCAGTTCTATATGTGTCATTCACTATCCTCCTGCACAAACAAAAGCAGTAGATCAGCATGCTGTCATTCATTACTCCACATCAGAGAGTCAGTAATATGATAATGGAAGCATAAGAGTGGCATATCTGAACAGAGGAGTCTTTCTACCTCTGTATCATTTCTACATCTGTCCATTTGAAATGATGCAAGGTCTTATAAAATGAGAGGACTGCATTCAGAAGTGTTTTGCAATCATTTTCCACACAGAAAGGAAGAGGATGGGATCTCAGACTACATTTTTAAGCTTGGATATGGAGAAGAGAGGAGACCAATGCTATTTTACAGCAAGGGACAACTTTAGCATCATGCATTTCCCAGTGAGTGTAAATCCCAAAATGAAAGTCTTTACTTTGATTTATGCTGCTTGGGCAAATTGGGGAAAGTTTTATTGTTGCTTTGTCTGCAAAAATTAGTTTAGCATTTAGCTCAACTCTTTTTTTAAATCTTCTAGTCTTATTCGAATGAAGCAGTCTTTAATTTTCTCTTTGTTACCATGCAAGAGGAAGCAGCACATCTTCATGGCCCATATCCTGCACATATTGAAGTAGAGGTCGGTAGGGGTGATACACTATCAAACAGCAGTCCTAGAAAGATTAGAACACAAAGCTTGCTGTAATTGA